AAAGATTCTGATTTCTATTCAGGTGGGAGCTACTGAAGGGGCAAGGTGATGATGGAATGAGATTTTGCATCTTTGAAAAGACACTTGGGATGTCACAGGGTAGACAAGGAATTGGGGGCACTGAAAGTCAGATGGTACCCAGGCTGGAGGTTATTAGTACTCTGGGGAGCAATGATGGGGGCTTGGATGAGGATGGACAGAAGTCAAAGTGGAGAAATGGGTCCTTTACCCCTCAGTCTGTTCTCAGAATGTTAGCCCGTGATCTTCCTTGACTCAGACCTCACAGTGCCTCTATCTCACACAAAGGAAGCACCTTCTCAGCAGGGTGCTCTCAGCATCTAGGTCAGGGCTGTTCCCCACCCTCAGCATCCTCACTCCCACCAAATTCCAGGAGAACTCCCCGGTCACAGGACACTGCATATTTCCAGTGCCCCAGGTACTGCTCCTTCTTTCAAGGACCACTGTGCAGGGCCTTGAACTTGCTGTTCCTTCTGCCAGTTGCACTCTTCTTCCAGATATCTGTGTGCTTTGATTCTTGGCTGGGTGTCTGCCCTTTCTGCCTGGGCTGGGTGTCCTTTTCTCAATGTCCTTTGAATTGCAATCTGCCCCTACATGATTCCTATCCCTTCTCTGTCTTATTTTTCTCTATAGCACTTTTCATCCTCTGAGACTCTCTAGGCATTTTCTGGCCTCACCTCCCATCCCCCGAGCCCCACAATGTAAGCTACAGGTAAGCAGGAGCTTGTCAGTTTTGTTCACTTCTGTATCAGTCTCTGGCATCCAGAACAGTGTCTGGTACGTAGTAGGCGTTTGGTAAATATTTATTTGTGCAGTGCCCGAGGTGGCATCTGACTGCAGTGGGAGGTGAGGGGGTAGGATGAGGCTGTTTTCTGGAATGGGCCAGCAGATGGCAGTGCCATTCGTAGGGCTGGGGAGCGTGGTTGAGCTCGGAGGGAGTGTGATGTAGTTAGTTGGAGACACATTGAGCTAAACAAGCTGGTTTTTTTTTTTTTTTGGTCTGGCCATCCTACATTGGGAAGGCTCGGCAGGGGCGGGGACAGATCAGCCGACCCAGGCGGTGCTGGGGCTGCGTGTCCCGCCACAGGCGTGGGCCAAAACTATGGACACACTCAGACGTCCGCTTGTTTGCAAAAGCTCAGCTCTGCACGCAAACCTAGGTCCTTTGCACCGCCCCACCACCCATCCAATCACGCACCCACGAGGTTTCGGCGGCTTGTCTTGCTCCACCTCTGCCCCCACGCTCCGCTAGAGACTGGCCCTTTAAGAGCCCCGCCCCCGACTACCCCCCTCACCGCTCCCCGGTTTCTCCCCCCCACAACCCCCCCGCGCTCGCGTGACTGTGCCGGGACCCGAGCCGGGCCAGGGAGTTGGGCTGCTGGGTGGCTGCGCCGGCCTCCGGGTCCTTCTCACGCAACTCCCGGGCACCGCGCCCCCGGCCAGGTGGGGCTGGGATGGGCCGCGTGACCTCTGCCCCCTGGAGGGATGTACCAGACACAGGCACGCTAGCCTGGGGAGGCATCTGCGCCCGCCACCCCCCTCCCGCCCCCTTTAGTAGTCCCTGGGCTCCCTTTCTTGCCCCCCACCCCCACCCCAAGGTCTCCTTCTAACCCTTTCCTCGGCCGCTGGGAGATCCGCTCGCCGCACAATTGCTCTGCCTTGCCAAAGCGCTAGTAGCCCCAGGAACCTCGAGGGCCCGAGGGTCCTGGCTCGAAGTACCCTCGGTTTGCAGAGTGGTCCCTAGGGGCGTCTCAACGGGTTCAGCTAGTGCATGCTCAGCAAGGCTGCACATTCTCCATCCCTTCCCGCATTCCGGCTCTTCCATCAGGGAGCGCGTCCGGGCTCTGGGGGCTCTGGGGGTGGGGGAGGCTCTGGGGAAAGGGGCCAGCCCATCGGCGCCTCTGGCCTTCCGGCCCTAATGACCTCGGGGCTGGGGTCGCAGTGCTTCTCACGCGAGCCTAGACTCAATAACAGGGGTTAGGAGGTCATCACTGGGCAGCTCCGCCCCTGCCTGCCAGCCTGGTTCCTATCTGCTGGTAGAGAGGAGGAAGCACTCCCAGTGTTCAGTGGGTGCAAAAATGAGGGTGACTGGTTCCCGTACCCCGGGATGGAGCACCCCTATACCCTCTTTCGGTCTATCGTGTGATTTCTTCCCCAAACTCCTCCCTAGCTGGGCTCTGCGCTTGTCCAGGGGTACCTTGGAACTGAGGGTCCCAAGTGTCCCTAGCCTTCACCCCTTGAAGAGCCAGCACTTGATCGAGGCATCCCCAGAGTTGGTTCTTACCTATCCCCTCCTCTCTCGCCCCTCCCTCCTCCGTCCCAAAGCTTCCAAAAGCGACCAGTTCTCCCCCCCACCCCCACCCCGCCCCACCCTCTTTCCCATCCCCGCGCTCCGGGAGGCGTGGCCACACTTCCAAGCCGCGTATAAAGGTGGCATTGCTTTCACCCTCACTCTGAAGGTGACAATTCCTTGGAGGCTTCCTTGGTCTTCTTTGGGGTCCCTGGCTCCAGAGACCATTCTTCCCAGCCCAGCTCTGCACCCTCTCACAGCCGCAGGTGAGTGCTGGGGGTTTCTGGATTGTCGCTTCCCTCACCAAAAGGAAAATTCTATTGCCTCCATGTCCTCTTGGTCTAGCACCTCAAAAAAGAAAAAAAAAGGGAGGCTATGAGTGTCCTTAGTAGGGAGGCAGTCCAGCTTCCCTCACTAAGTAGGGAAACTGAAGCCAGGGGAAGGGCTGGACTTGCCCAAGATTCCATGGCTAGTACCAGAACAGCTCCCTTCTCAGCATTCCAGGACCTAGGCTCCAGCTCATCCCCTAGTGACTCCTGGAATGCCTAGGGGCATCCCCATGGAGGTCACCTGGAAGGTTGGAATAGGACACAGGTGTGAGAGACTGGGAGCCAGTACAGGACTTCTTCAGGCTCTGTGAGGAGGAGGCTTCTCCGTGGTCAGGGTGGATGAGGGGGCAAGTTGGGTTCTTACCAGCTGTACCCTGCCTTATCGAAAAGCTACTCCTGGCTGGAGCCACCCTCCCAAGGCATAGCTTGTCAGTGCTGAGAGGTGTTGGCTGGACAAGGGAGGCTGATCTGAGAGGGAGTTCTGGGCATTGTCCAGAGGCCCTCCCTGTTCAACTGTCTTCTTTGGCCTTTGCTGGGGGCCGATCAGTGTGAGAGACTGCGCTCTGCAGAAAACTTGACCCTGAAAACTCAGCAGTCACACCTCTCTTGGCCTCCTACCATCTTATTAAGGCTAGGGGTCTTTGGAGCACCCAGTGTGCAGAAGGGGACCCCATGGCATGCCAAGGCCTAGCAGTGTCCCCAGTTCACTCAAGGAGTATGGACTCAAGTGTGCTTTGGGGTTCAGCTCCTTCAGGAAGCCTCCCTAGACAGACAGCTATAGTAGTTCAGATAGGAACCATACAACCTCCCCATTTTGGGTGGCTCTTCTGTAGGGAAACTTCACTTGTCAGACTACGCTTAACCTCATAGGAAAGATCTGAGTTTTCTCTTATCTGAGATCAGCTGGGCACTGTGAATCAGAGATCATGTCCCATCCCTTCTCTCAGGTGATGTGACTGAAGCCCAGAAGGGTAAAATGAACTAACCAATCCAAGGCCATGTCATAAAGCCTGGAACCCTTGTGTCCTGACCTCCAGTTCAGGGCATCAGTAAGATGCCCCTGTCATAGCCCCATGTCTCGAAGAAAGGAGTCCATGAATTTCCACACCCTTTCTAGTCTGAACCTGGAGAAAGTATTGTGTCAGTGTCAGTTAAATTCAGCTCCATTCCTAATTTCGCATATTCCAGTCCAGAGTTTTCTTACAGCCTTTGCCTGGTAGGATCCTTCCATTTATTCACAGCTCTAGAGTCACTGGCAAATGGGGGAGGTCCAGACTATTCATTCATTGAGAATTGAGCCCAGTGGAAACCTTGGCCTGGAATTTTGTGACCAGGAGCCTCAATCTAGTTGGCCTCCAGCTGCTTTTAACCTGTGAGTCAGCAGAGCTCAGAGAGCTGGGGCTAAGGGCACTGTGACTTAGACAGTAAGGAAGTGGGGCAGTCCCCTTTCCCCTCCCCGCTGTGTCCCGGTGTCTGGCCAGATTCCCTAGATCCTGGGTTTGAACAGTAGAGAACTGATGGTACTGAGAAGATGCCTTGTCATCAGTTGATCTGACCACTCTTCAAAGAGAGGTACCTATGACAGGAACATAGGAACAGGGAAGACTGGGCCATGAATCTTCCCAGGGAACTTTCCCTAAGAGGTCTGAGTCCTGGCTCTGTCTGAGAGCTGGGTGCCTTTAGCCAAGTCAGTGCCTCCTCTGGAGTTCAGTTTCCCCAAATGTGAAATGAGGCTGAACAAGAGGGAATCCTTAGTTCTTTGGTACCCCACCCTAAGTTGGGTGGGTAATACTCAAGGGGAATTGGGTGATACATATTGATTATGTGCTTAGTTTAATATACATTAGGGGAAAAAACAAACCTGTATTTTCACACAGATGTTATTGTGTGAAACGGTGCTAAGTGGGTGGATTTAAAGTTGATTTTAGAAAAATATGAAATAAATAATAGTATAGGTTTTCTATGGAAATCACAGACTGACATTGAGATTGGTATGGCAGTTAAGGTGGTCTGGAATTAGACAAATTTGGATTGGGATTTGGATTCTATCGTTGTTGGGTGTATGACCTTGGGCAAGTTATATACTTTCTCTAGGCCTCAGTGCCACCTACCACAAAGGCTGTGGCCAGGACTGAATGAAGAATGACTGAAATTCTTGGTATGGAGTTGGCAGATCAACAAACAGCTTCTCCTATCTCCTCTCCCATTTCATGCCCAGTGAACAGTTCTGGATAAGGTTTTCCCTTTTCTTGACCGGTGTGCTGACATTTTAGGACACTGGCTCCTTCCATCTCCCCGTCAGATCTTTTGACCTTTTCCTCCCATCTCACCTCTCAGCAGCCACCTTGGAATCTACGTGGATCATGTTTTCTGTGTTTGGACTCCCCATCCCTATCTCGGCCACAGAACTTCTCCTGGCCTCTGCTGTCTTCTGCCTGGTATTCTGGGTGGTCAGGACCTGGCGGCCTCGGGTCCCTCAAGGCCTGAAGAGTCCACCGGAGCCCTGGGGCTTGCCCCTGCTCGGGCACGTGCTGACCTTGGGGAAGAACCCACACATGGTCCTGTCACAGCTGAGCCAGCGCTATGGGGACGTGCTACAGATCCGCATTGGCTGCACACCCGTGCTGGTGCTCAGTGGCCTGGACACCATCCGGCAGGCCTTGGTGCGGCAGGGCGATGATTTCAAGGGCCGGCCCGACCTCTACAGCTTCACCTTTATCTCTGATGGCCAGAGCATGACCTTCAACCCAGACTCTGGACCGGTGTGGGCTGCCCGGCGACGCTTGGCCCAGAATGCTCTGAAGAGTTTCTCCATCGCCTCAGACCCGTCTTCCTCATCCTCCTGCTACCTGGAGGATCACGTGAGCAAGGAGGCTGAGGCCCTCCTGGGCAAGTTCCAGGAGCTGATGGCAGGGCCTGGGCGCTTCGACCCCTTCAAGTATGTAGTGGTGTCAGTGGCCAATGTCATCTGTGCCATATGCTTTGGCCGGCGTTATGACCACGACGACAAAGAGTTTCTTAGCCTCATCGACCTGAATAATGAGTTTGGGGAGATAGCTGCCTCCGGGAACCCAGCTGACTTCATCCCTGTCCTCCGTTACCTGCCCAACACTGCTCTGGACCTCTTCAAGGACCTGAATCGGAGGTTCCACGTCTTTGTACAGAAGATAGTCACGGAACACTATAAAACGTTTGAGAAGGTATAGACTAGGGAGAGCCAGGTGGGTGGTAGGGAGTGGGTAGAGTCAGGGGTCAGGAGTCAGAGATAGCTGGAGCAGAGTGGAGTTTGGCAGGCTCTCACAGGTCTTTAGCCTGGGATTTTGAAGCCAGTAGTGGAGGGGATGCCATCCTTGGCAGGAAAATAAAACTTTTTATTAACCAGCCCTTCTAACTTTCCATCAGACAGCAGTATCTACTGTAGAGCCAGTCCGTGCAGGACCCTAAGCTAGTTGTGGTAGGAACCAAGAAGAGTTAAAGAGTTGGCCTCATGGGAGAGAAAGGTGTAAAGGGCATGTGCAGATGATAATGTTACTAGACTCTGTGTCAAATGTCCTTTGAGTTGGGGCTGCAAATATTCTGGGTCAGGAGAGAGCCTTGGAGAGACAAGAGAAGCTGGGGGTGGTGGTGGGTGGGTGGGTGTGGTCACCTCTTGGACAAAGATGCTAGGGATGGGAAGGGACCAGGTCTGGATGGAGAGGCAGTTCTGGGTTTGGGATCTTCCTTACCTGTGGGCCTTCCCTACCCAGGGTCACATCCGGGACATCACAGACAGCCTGATTGAGCACTGCCAGGACAAGAGGCTGGACGAGAATGCCAATATCCAGCTGTCGGATGAGAAGATCATTAATGTCGTCATAGACCTCTTTGGAGCCGGTATGAAATTCCCCATTATACCATTCCTATGGCCAGCTGCCCTGACCCACCAAGCCCCTAACCGCTCCTTCTGTTCTCCCCTGGCCAGGGTTTGACACAGTCACAACTGCCATCTCCTGGAGCCTCCTGTACCTGGTGACAAGCCCCAGGGCGCAAAAAAAGATTCAGGAGGAGCTGGGTAGGTGGAGGCTTCCCTCGGAGCGCTCACGGCAGGAGGCCCAGCCAAGGTCTGAGCGGCCCCTGACTGTCTGGTCCTCTCTGCTCTGCAGACACAGTGATTGGCAGGGCGCGGCGGCCCCGGCTCTCTGACAGACCCCAGCTGCCCTATTTGGAGGCCTTCATCCTGGAGACCTTCCGACACTCCTCCTTCGTTCCCTTCACCATCCCCCACAGGTGAGGCCCCATGGATCTGCAGCTGTCTGATGCTGGGCCTTTCTTCAGTTCATGTACCTGATCTGGGTGGTGGGAGGGACAGGGTAAGGGAGGCAGGGAGATCTCCTTGTGGCCCTGAACCTGACTGAGCTTCCTCCCTCCTCAGTACCACAAGAGACACCAGTCTGAATGGCTTTTACATCCCCAAGGGGCGCTGTGTCTTTGTGAACCAGTGGCAGATCAACCATGACCAGTAAGTTGAGAGGGGGCAGGGAAAGCTCCCCTGCTCCTGAGCTTCACACTTTGCTGTCTCTGGGCCACTTGCCTGAACCCTATTCTTTTCAGCTGGGGCGCAACCCGCTTGATGGTTCTGAGTCCCCAGGCTGCCTCTTCAGCTGCTTCTCTCTAATTTACAGGAAGCTATGGGAGGATCCATCTGAGTTCCGGCCAGAACGGTTTCTCACTGCTGATGGCACCATCAACAAAGTACTGAGTGAGAAGGTGATTCTTTTCGGCTTGGGCAAGCGGAAGTGCATCGGTGAGACCATTGCCCGCTTGGAGGTCTTTCTCTTCTTGGCCATCCTGCTGCATCAGGTGGAATTCCATGTGACCCCAGGTGTGAAGGTGGACATGACCCCCCTGTATGGGCTGACCATGAAGTACACCCGCTGTGAGCATTTTCAGGTGCACATGCGCCCTTAGGGGACAGACAGCTCTGCCCCTGTTTGGGCAGCCAGGCCAGGGGCCTAACCCAGGGGAGCCTAAAACCCACAGACTTTGTCAGGCTGATTTTTTGTTGTCTGAGCTATGGGCAAGCCTGAGGGATCATACCTGCCCCCACCCTGGACTTGTCCTTCTGCATACTGACCACAGATAACGGACACATCAGGGGCCACACAGGAGCTGATGGAGCCATTCTGAAGTTGTGCTGGAAGGGCTAGAGGGTCCTCAGGCCTCTGGAAACCTCCAAAGAGCTTTTGGGAAGCCCCTGGGCCCAGCACACCAGCTGGTTGGCTTTCCATGGAGTAAACTGGCTTGAGAAACATTCAGAGCAGGTCACACCAAGGCCTGACCAATCTCTTTGACAATTGGGAGCTGTCAAGACTGAAGGGGAGAGGCAGTCCAGAATACTGACACGGAGGTGGTCTCCCTACTTAAACAAGGCTGAGTAATCTGATCACTAGGGTCTGGGACACTGTGCCTGGGAGACGACCTTCCTCTCTGCAGGCAGGGGTGGGGCTGCTGCCTGGCCTTTTGAGGCCCCTGTTCCTGTCCAGGGAGGGCTGAGGACTTGTGTCTAACAGGACCAGAGAGCAGAGGGAGGGCCCAAATCCAGGCACCAGGACTGGATCAGGAGGGTGTGGGTGGTTATCGCATCATCTTCTACTGCATCTCTTTTCAATAACCCTGTGTTAAAAAAAGTCTTTTAAAAGTGTTTGTATGCAAGGACCTTTTCATTTTCACCTGTATTGTACTTGCATGTTTGTATTTGCCATATATGAGAGCTTAAGAGCAGCTTATTGGGAGCCATGAAGAAAATTCTAACCCAGGTATCCAGAAATGTGTAGGAAATATCTATCTACCTGAGCTAAATAAAGATATTATTCAGAAGTCCTTATTGGTGGAGATTTTTAAAATCTTGAATGAAGGCATCTACGTGCCCAGCCTGAGCCTAGTCTTGTGTTGGGTTTTGCTGTGGGAGGACACTGGGGGCGGGGGAGGCGGCGGTGCTCTCAGGAGCTCTCAGAAGCCACTGCTCTCAGACAGCTCGCAGTCTGGTTTGGGCACAAGACTCTGTCACTTCACTGACTTCCTCCTTCTCTAACTGATCACACATTGATGAACATTCTTTGAAGCAGGCATTGGGGGCGATAAAGTGAATGAAAAATGGTTTCTAGAGCCTCCTAACCTGGTTGGGGGAACTAATTCATTAACACATCATCCAATTCATTGTCCATGCATGCATGCTAAGTCACTTCAAGTTGTGTCTGACTCTTTGTGACCCTGTGGACTATAGCCTGCCAGGCTCCTCTGTCCATGGGATTCTGTAAGCAAGAAAACTGGAGTGGGTTGCCGTGCTCTCCTCCAGAGGATCTTTCCAATCCAGGGACTGAACCCACATCTCTTATGTTTCCTGCATTGGCAGTTGGGTTCTTTACCACTAGAGCCAACTGATAAGACCCCAATTCATTGTGACCAGGTCTCTAACAGCCAGATACACAACAGGAGGGTGAAGCACAGAGCCAGAGCGGGCTGGGTGGGCAGGGGAGTGGGTGCTGGGAGAGGTGACCAGGTCTTGGGGATATATGCACAGGGCCCTCCTTGAAAGATGGGAGGCAGACTTACTTGGGTCTCACAGCAGTAGATCTCAAGTCCAAGAAGTAGACTATGGTCACTGTACTGGGGGGGAGGGCGGTGGTTCTCAGCTCAGAAGTCATGGTCTGCTTGTTCTTCACTAGCCATGCCAGGCTCAGGTCCTGCACTAATATTAGATCCCACGCTGGTCACAGATGGAGAACAAGGTGTTTGATCATCAGGTCCCATAAGCTGACTTTGGCCCAGATTTCAACACTAAAATCATCCTTCTCCATCCGGGATGGCAGAATAGTGGTAACAAGTAGGGACAGAGGCTGGACCTACACGCTATGCTGTGCTTAGTCACGCAGTCATGTCCGATTCTTTGCGACCCCATGGACTGCAGCACACCAGGCTTCCCTGTCCATGGGGATTCTCCAGGCAAGAATACTGGAGTGGGTTGCCATGCCATCCTCCAGGGGATCTTCCCAACCCAGGAATCAAACCCAGGTCTCCCACATTGCAGGCAGATTCTTTACTATCTGAGCCACCAGGGAAGCCCATGAATACTGGAGTGGGTAGCCTATCTCTTCTCCAGGGGATCTTCCCAATCCAGAAATTGAACCAGGGTCTCCTGCATTGCAGGTGGATTCTTTACCAGCTGAGCTACCAGGGAAGCCCCTGGACCTACATAATCTGGAGCTATTCTGGCTAAGGGACTCTGAGAGGAGATGCATCTTGTGCTGTAACCCCAGCCCAGCCTTCTTCCTGAAGCACTGTGCAGTGACCAAGGGTTGCCATTCATGCACTGTGCTGTCAGGAAAGTACTCCCACTCATCAAAAGTTTCAGGCTACTTCAAGGAAGGAGCTGAAGTCAGCTGAAGCAACGCTGTTTATATAGGAGGATGAGGAATTTGGCATCCGACCATTCTTGCATTGATTTATTTTTTACTTAAAACAAACAAACAAACAAAAAACCAACTTGTAGGACTTCCCTGGTGGCCCAGTGGTTAAGAATCCCCCTGCCAATGCAGGGGATGCAGATTTGATCCCTGGTTGGGGAAAATTCCACATGCACTGGGCAACTAATTCCCTGAGCCACAACTACTGAGCCCGCATTCTAGAGCCCACAAGCTGCAACTACTGAGTCCCTTCGCCACAGCTGCTGAAACTTGCATGCCCTAGAGCCTGTGCTCCGCAACAAGAGAAGCCACAGCAGGAGGCCCATGCACCACAACCAGAGAGTAGCTCCCACTTGTCACACCTAGAGAAAGTCCAGCAGCAGTGTGTGCAGAAAGTGTGCAGCAGTGAAGACCCAGCACAGCCAAAACTCAATTTAAAAAATCAATAAAGTAAAAGGCTTATATGATATAACAAATGAGCCTTCAAATCATGATGCTAAGTGAAGAAGCCAGAGATAGCAGGCTACATATTGCATCTTTCCATTTATATGAAATGTCTAAAACATGCAAATGCAGGGAGACAGAAAGTTTTGAATAGATTAGTGGTTGCCAGGGGATAGGGGGCGGGGAGAGTGAAAGGTACAGGATTTTTTTTCAGGTTTGGTGGAAATATTCTGAAATTAGATAGTGATGATGGTTGTATAAATTTGTGAATATACTAAAATCCACCAAATTATGCAGTTTAAAATAGCTGAAACAGTGAAAAAAAGAAAATCTATACCAATCTTTATTCTAAAGAAGGAGCGGAATGGAGACAGCATATGCACAACAATTTAGAAACTGTTCTCACTAAATCATATTGGTAATGGTAATACTAGTATTTTTATTTTGAGACTATAGAGCATTGTGGGTTAAGGAGGTACACATGTAACACACAAGAGGTTAAATTTTAAAAATACATTGTATATATGTAATATGTATTATATATTATTATATTATACATCATAGCTCAGTTGCTGAAGAATCTGCCTGCAATGCAGGAGATCCCGGTTCGATTCCTGAGTTGGGAAGATCCCCTGGAGAAGGGCTAGGCTACCCACTCCAGTATGCTTGGGCTTCCCTTTTGGCTCAGCTGGTAAAGAAACCGCCTGCAGTGTGGGAGACCTGGGTTTGATGCCTGGGTTGGGAAGATCTCCTGGAGAAGGGAAAGGCTACCCACTCCAGTATTCTGGCCTGGAGAATTCCATGGACTGTGTAGTCCAGGGGGTCACAAAGAGTCAGACACGACTGAGCAACTTTTATTTCACTTCACTTCATATTATATAATATATCTTATGTATTTATATTTCTAACTGTTAGAAACAATGACCAGCTCAACAGTGAGCATCCTGAATGCCTAAATTACCATCCAAGGCTTCTTGGAGAAATGCTGGTTACAGAACCAGGGCAGAAAATGTAAAAGATGACCTGAAACAGTTGTTCATATCAGATAGCAAAGAAACCACAAATATTATCAAGTTGATCAAGCCATGCAGGAGCCCAACAGAAGAGCCTCCAACAGGTCAAAGATTGGACAACTTGACTGTCAATAATAAAATTGCCGTGGAAACAAAATATAAAATAAAATTGCCGTGGATGAAAACCTATCAACTATCTTTGAATCTATGAGTCTACAAGGATATATATACACACACATATACACATATCTATTTAGACTAGTTTTTGTCTTCAGAAAAACCAATTCATTACCTTAAAAAATGAAAAACAAAAGCAGAATCAAGCATTCATCCTATCTTTCCTATATGGACTGTACTTGCAGATAACCAAATAGTACATAAGAATAAGCATCTCTTTTTAAAAATTTATTTATTTTTAATTGGAGGATAATTGCCTTACAATATTTTGTTGATTTATGCCATATATCAACATAAATCAGCCATAGGTATACATATGTCCCCTCCCTCTTAAATCTCCCTTCCACCTTTCACCCCAAGAAGAAACATCTCTTAATGAAAATATTCCAATTAATAATTGAAAAAGAATTAATAGAATTGAATTGTCACAACATTGTTAATTAGCTATGCTCCAATATAAAATAAAATTCTAAAAAAAAAAAGAAACAATGGAATTGGAATGTCACTATTTTGCATCGACCACTGCTTCCAACAAACACCAGCATCATAAAAGGAGAGAAAACCAGATATGTGGCTCCTGGTAAAAGAAGCCAGTACTGCCCATGGTCTTTCCCATGGGACTGAACCAGAGTCTGGTCAACTCTCTGCATCCAGCTACCAATTTGTAATTAATATAGGAGATGAAGAAACACACTGAATGGAAATATCAGGGGATAACCAATAAAATTCAGACTTTGGAAAAATCTACAGGCCAAAAGCCCTGGGGTCTTCAACTGAAAAAGAGTAAGGAAAAGAAGCAAATGGAAGGAAAACTTGTCGACTTAAAAGATACATCAATTTTTTTTGGTTGCATTAGGTCTTAGGTGCAGCA